TTTTGGTCAGCACGGGCCCCCCAGAGATCCCCACCCCTCTCCCCCGCCTGGGCCGGGTTTGCACCGGAGTCGTTTTTTGGACGGTCTGGGGAGCCCGGCGAAGACTCCCGGAGGCCGAACGCTTCTGAGAACTTCCACGAGGGATTTCTCAATGCGTTTTGCAGGTCTGGCAGTTCTGTGGCAACTCATGGGAGCCTCCTACATCCCGTTGTCGGCTCTCGCGAAACGATGCGAATCGACGCTCACTCGACGCTAATCCAAGCAAATCGGCGCTAAATCGGCGCGATCTCGTCGATGAGCAGACGCTGAACGACGCCAGAGCACTCTGAAGACAGAGCTACGAGGGTACACGAGGCTCCCCTGATTTGCTGCCGAAGTCTGGGATCCTGATCTGCCCAGCACGTTTCCGAGTCGTCCGGCCCTCGGGCCACAGCTCGGCTTAAGTCGGGCGCGTCCCCCTACGGGGGGATCGTCGACGAAAAATGAAAAATACTCAAAAAATCCGAATTGTCAAAAATACTCATAAAAATAGTCCCCAGGCTATTTTTGGACTATTTTTGAATTTTCCTCCTGTGGAGGGACGGGCCCGACTGAAAGCTCGGCTCTCGCGCGGCCGCTCGGGGTGCTCCCGGGCGCCCCCGGGGGCCTCTCGGCGAGGCGCGGATGCCGGAAAAGCACCCCGAGGCCGGAGCGCGGCCGAGCACCGGCGAGGACGGCCGCACCTGCGGCGGCGGCGGCGGCGGCAGCGGCGGCGTCGGCGTCGGCGTCGTCGTCGTCGTCGTCGGCGGCGTCGGTGTCGTCGTCGTCGTCATCGTCGTCGCTGTGCTGCAGGAAGGAACGCATGATGAGGAACGAATGGGCCTTTCTGGTAAGACGAAGCCCGGGCGAGGACAACGTCGGGTGCGGATGACATCGAGAATCTCTGAGGTGCGGCGGCGCTGGAGGATGCCTCGGGCGCTGCGGCCCTCCCGGAGCGTTCAGGAACGCCCTGGGGAGCGCTCCGGGAACGCTCTGGAACGGATCTATCCTCGCCCTGGCCCCAGTTGGCGAACGCCCCTAGATGGGGATGCGGGCTGTTCCCTTCAGACTTCGACGGGCACATCCCCAACCGGGGCGGTGGGGGGATGGTGGGGGTCGGGACAGGAAGGGCCCAACATCGCATCGACAAGTCGGATCGGCGGTCGACATGAACCGACTCTTCCTCCTCTGACCCAGGACCCCCGACGTCATGACTTCTTCACAGCGTCGACCCCCGGAGGTATCGACCCACTCCCCGGGGCCAGCTCCTCGTCCTGATTCGATGTTTTGGACGGCCCCGAGGCCCGGCGAGGGCCCCCAGAGGCCGACGACACTATCGAAAACCCTTCCGTCGTGAATTTTTCATGACTGGAGGGGGTCTGGGGGGCCATCCCCTTTAACGCCCACGCCCTTTCACGCCCAAGCCCATGCAGAAGGCTTGGGCGTGCCTGGCCCTCTGGGCCTCTCGGGAGGGGGACCGCCTCGCCGCTCTGGAGGGCACGGCTACGACAGCTTGATCAGGACGGATCCCCGAGATGAGGAGGAGGAGGAGGAGGAGGAGGAGGAGGAGGAGGAGGAGGAGGAGGAGGAGGAGGGAGGAGGAGGAGGAGGAGGAGGAGGGGCAGGAGGAGGAGGAGGAGGAGGAAGAAGACTGGGAGAAGGAGGACGAGGAGGACTGGGAGAAGGAGGACGAGGAGGAGCAGGAGGAGGACGAGGAGGAGCAGAACGCGAAGGAGGCGGGGGGAGAGGAGGTCTTCGCGGCGGGGAGCTCCCGCGGCGGCGCCGGCGTCGCCGCGCCCCGCGGGCGGCGCCGAGCCCTCGGCGGCGGCGGCAGCGGCCGCGGCCGGCGGGCCCACGGGGAGGCCACTGGCGGGCGGGCGCCCCTCGGGCGGGCGCGCCTCACGAGCGGCCTCCCCGGGCCGCAGGGGCGCCAGGGCGCTCAGCAGCGCCCCCATCTTCCCAGCCAGGCCTGCGTCGACGACGACGACGACGACGACGACGACGACGACGACGACGAGGTGAGCGGACGACGTCGACTACAACGACGACGACGACGACGACGACGACGACGACGAGGAGGAGGAGGAGGAGGAGGAGGAGGAGGAGGAGAAGGAGAAGGATGAGGAGGATGACGACGGGGAGGAGGAGGAGGAGGAGGAGGAGGAGGAGGAGCAGCAGGAGGAGGAGGAGGAGGAGGAGGAGGAGGAGGTAGGAGAGGAGGAGCAGGAGCAGGAGGAATAGGAATGAAGGAGGAGAACGACGGGGGGAGGATGCGGAGGGGGGAGAGGAGGAGGAGGATGAGAGGAGGAGTGAGGAGCGAGGGAGGAAGGTAGGAGGGCGCCAGCAGCGCCCCCTCTTCCCCGCCAGGCCTGCGGGCGCGCAGCGAGACGACGACGACGACGACGACGACGACGACGACGACGACGACGACGACGACGACGACGAACGACGATAACGACGACGTCGACGACGACGATAACGACGACGATAACGACGACGTCGACGACGACGACGACGACGACGGGGACGTGGAGGCGGAGGAGGAGGAGGAGGAGGAGGAGGGGGAGGACGACGAGGAGGAGGTGGAGGAGGACAAGGAGGTGGAGGAGGTGGAGGAAGAGGAAGACGAGGAGGAGGAGGAGGAGGAGGAGGAGGGCGCCCAACAGCCCCTTCATCTTCCCGCGAGGCCTGCGGGCCGAAACGAAGACGGCGACGACGACGAGGGCGGCGACGACGAAGAGGGCGACAACGACGACGACGACGACGAGGAGGAGGAGGAGGACAACCGAAGGTAACCCGACCATTCAACGTCTTGAGCAGATCATGAAGGACTTTTTTAATCGTGTTCGGCACCTCTCTTCGAGCCGGATCGATCTGCGAGAGATCCGGGACATGCCCAAATCGAAAAAGTTGCGACGCCAGGATGTCAGGTTTGGTCTTCGGGTCAGAAATCTGGTTTCTGGCGGCCGTTCGGGACGATCCAGGCACCCCCGGAACACCCCCTGCGAGGCGCAGCTGCTGGCAGGCATCCCGCGGCGGGACAGCCTTCGAGAAGCCACGACGACGCCCGAAGACCTGGAAGCTCGACGCCCGAGCCTCGAGCTCTGTTCCCAGACTTGCGACGCCCTGCTTTTCTCAGGACGGCGCCCCCGGAAGTCCCGACCCTTTCCCCGGGGCCGGCTTCTCATCCCGAGTCGTCTCTTGACGGCCCTGGGGCCCGGCGAGGGCCCCCCGGGGCCGAAAATGTAGGGAAAAACTGGCCGTCCTGCTTTTTGGCGACGCGAGCCTGTCTGGGCTCCCTCCTCTGGGGAAACCGAAAGGTACCGATACCGCTACTCCCCGGACCTCTCCTGGGGTGCGTTCTGACCCGGATGTCGAGGCGAATCCGGCGGTGGCGACGACGGAGGCCCAGGAGGCCCAAAAAGGGGAAGACGGCCGAAGGGTAGGGGTAGGGGTCTACCTCTTCCTCTCCTGATCCTCTCATCCCCAGAGATCCGACGTCGTGATTTTTTCAATACGGGGTCCCTAGCAATCTCGACCCATTCCCCAGGACCGGTTTTTCGTCCTGAATCGTTTCTTGACGGTCCCGGGGCCCGGCGAGGGTCCCGCGAGGCCGAAAAATACGGAAAACCTCCGCCTTGATTTTTGTCAACGCGTTGGATCTCTGGGTCCTCTGCAGGGGAGGGCCGTCGTCCCAGGCCAGCGCCGACCGCAGGCGCGGGGCCACGCCGTACGGCCGCTCGGCGGCGCCGGCGGGGGGCGCGGCCGGGCGCGCGCAGCCCAGGGCCGCCAGGGCGGCCGCGACGTGCGCGGGCGCGAGGCCCACGGCGCCGTCCACGCGGACGGCGTGGCCCTCCGGGGCGGCGCCGCCCGGGAGACGGCCACGGCCACCGCTGCGGCGCCGCGCGCGGGGGGGAGGCCCGGCGGGTGGTGGGCCCAGGCAGCGAGACGCACCCAGACATGATGGCGTCGTAAAAAAATCAGGACGGGCGGTTTTCGGCTATTTTCGCCCTCTAGAGGTCCTCGCCGGGCCTCGGGACCGTCAAAAAACGACTCAGGACGAAAAACCGGTCCCGGGGAAAGGGTCGGGACTTGCAGGGACGCCGTCCTGAAAAAATCAGGACGTCGCATGTCTGGGTAGGAGTGACCCTGGGTTGGCCATCGCTCGGACGTCCCTTCCCTGTGCTTTCTGCTCGGTTTGGTGCGTGGCTTTTTGGCCAGATGATCAGGGGTGCTCCTCGAGGGCCCTCGCCGAAAGAAAAAATGCAGACGTCCGAGCCATGCCAAGCTAGACGTAAGAGTGACCCTGAGCAAGAGTGATCTCTGGTGCGCAGCTTCTTCTGGGGGCGCGAGGGAGCCAAACCCAGGGGCGCGGGCCACTCATGTCGCATCGCGCTCGGCGATCGGGGGAGCACGACGAGCCCGCACCAAAGGTCACTCCGGCGAAGGGTCACTCTTACGTGCAGTCGAAGACAGGAGCGCGTCGTAACCCCAAAAAAACAGCATCGGGACGGGCGGTATTTTCTGCCATGTTCTCGGCCCCCGGAGGGCCCTCGCCGGGCCCCGGGGGCCGTCAAGAGACGACTCGGGATGAGAAGCCGGCCCCGGGGAACGGGTCGGGACTTCCAAGGGCGCCGCGCTGGCAAAAGTCAGGATGTCGCACGCCTGGGGGTACGTCGCCGCGCCGCTGATTCCTCGACGCGCCCGAGTGCACGACGCCGACACCACGGCGACCCCACGGCAAGCCCTGCGCCCCGCGCCCGAGGAGACGCGGCCGGCACCGCGGCAAGCCCACGGCAAGCCCACCGCGTCCGAGGCAGAGGTTGCCCTGGTGCGCGCGGCCGCGCGTCGGAGCGAACAGCACGGCGACAGATGGATACTCCCCCGCCTTCGGGGGCGGGCCGGTATCCAGATCCACCACTCCCCGAGGCCCCCGGGCACGACCCTGAAGCGGTGGACACGGACATGTCCCGGCGGTGAGC